CATGAACTCCACATAAGCTGATCTGCTTTGGCAACGTGGATTAAACTACTCGTGATAAGCAAAAAAAGTGTTCAATTATATATAAAAGCAACTTAACAAGCACGCATCCTCACCCTTTTGGATGTCCTGTTGCAGCATCAGTTAAAATTATCACCTTCAACACTTCTCCAAACTTGTTGAAATGCCGAGACAGTGTGTCCTTCGTAGCAGCAAAATGAACCTAATGAAGCACCAGTAATTAAGAAATCAAACATGTACAAATTGCCCGATCCAAAATGTGAAGCTGGACCACTACTAGTTGCACAAAACTTACATTATTGACATAAATTGTACGTGAATCAGCATCTTCCAACGGAAGACCAGTTGAATACGGCCCTGGTAGTGGAAAATTGTCAGGAAAAATGCAACTACATATCTTCAACAAAGAAGACAGAAAAGAGTCATATCTCAGTCAAGAAAAGTAGAAAGCTAACCAGGAGCAGTTGACCCCACAATATTCTGGTTTTCTTTTTGGGTGTCTGCAGCAGGTGAACCCTGATATCAATGAAATTGCAGCTTATAAATTCCAACTAGTCAAGATTAAAGCAAATGAGCACAGAAAATAACTAGGACACACACAAAAATAAATAGATAATTACATTTCCATAAACAGTGACTGAGTTGCTATTTTCCTTCATCAATCGAACATTTGAATTGCCAGCTCCAGTGTCAATCTCCTGTGTGGACTTTAGAGTCTCTACTCCTGGTTTCTCTCGTGCTGCTTGGTAATGGGGTGGTTTCCAAGTATTTACATTCACTGAGATATTCACAATTTTATGCTTGGTATTAGCCGCAGAAGCTGGTAATTCTTGATCTTTTCTTTGTGATTGACGTGTCATTCCTTCAGTATTTTGGGCAACACTATAGTGCACTCTCAATGAATCATCGCGTTTAGCAGAAGTGCCGGTTTCAGAGACATCAAATTCTCTAGCACCGACAACATTGACATCATCATATCCTTCATTATCAGATGCAGAATCAGATGCCAGGCCAGTGCTGCTGTCCATCATGGATGCATTCACAATGTGTTGTTTAATATTATCTCTTGTTTGAAGATACCTTTGACGTGAATTGTTGCGAATATCAAAATCGTCATATTCATCATCTTGGACAGCAGGTTCTTTGAAAAATGATACTTGATCAGAGCTTCTATCACCACGACTCAGTCTATCGAAGACATTTCCAGTTCTTACCCTTTTGACATCATTGGATGCATCTTCAACAGCTTTAATTGCAGTTGCCATAGAGCTTTGCAACCTTGTCACTGACTGAGGTCTCTTATGATTAACTTCCTCTGTCAAATTCCCAATGGGTGTAGAGACCACAGAGCGTAGTCGCTTTCGTGCTGGCTCTGACACAGAGTTGGAGGATCTTGTAGTTGCAACTGCTTCTCTAACAGCAAATTGAAGTAGCCTTCTAGGTGCAGCAATAGTTGCTCTCTGACCAAAATTAATAACTGCATCAGGAGAAGTAGAGAAACATAAAGCATAGTGCAGGTCTTCTCTAACAGTTAGTGCTATAACAAAATCCAACCATAGCGCAGGCCAGAGACATTGCTCAAGCAAAATCCATAATAAGCACAACAAATACATGATACAAGCAGACACCCTCCAAACAATTTTTTTTTTACAAAAATAGCTCATTAGAATTTCAGTTAAGCTTACAAGTTTCAACTACAAGGGTATTATGAAATTCTCTAGTTCTCTAAACTCAATAAAAACACCCAGCACCAAAATTAAAATGCCTATGAAGCAAGAAGAAATAGAGTATGACTAAGAGAAAAAGGGGAAAAAACATTAATACAAACAACATTAATCACCAACCTTTGGCCGAGGATGTTCATCAGGACGATTTCTTTTCCTATGCACAGTACGTTGCGGTGAAACAGATTGCCTGGTATGCAACGCATTGGGATAGGTTTTCTCTTCATTCTGCTTATTCTTGGTAACAGAGCTTCGGATAAGAGGAGGTTGAAGTTTATCTGTCACAAGTGATTTCCAATCCCTATTGTGCCGGCTTCTAGAAGTCTTGCTAGACTTTCCTCTATCAGATTCTGAGACTGGGTGACTGGAATCATCTTTACTAGGCTGCTCAACCAATTCAGGTTTAGCTTTTGCCACCTCATCTGAACAAGATTGATGAGATCCTACATACTGGTCCAAGTAAGTGGCAAGATGGTCCCAAAGCCTGCATAAGAAAGAGAAATCAATCATTATATAGGTTGAATTAATTCTGCTGGTATCTTCAGCATACAGTTTATAAAGGTACAGCAACATTACCATGTAACAAAAGAATCACTCTTATCGCCCAGAAAAACATCCAGGTCCTCCTTGACTTCCTCCTTGCGCCGTCCATTTCCCAGTAAAACTATGACATATTTCTGCAAGTTCAAGCAAGCATATAACAGTGAAAAAATAAATTAGGGAATGTTCCATTTACTGGACTATAAATTAAAATAAGTCCCATGTAGTTTGCAAGTTACGGCTTACATGATTCGGACTCTACTTATCAAGTGAAAAGCTAGCTAAACTGAAACAAATGCTAAAGCAATTCCTTTGACTTAGGCATGTAAAGGGTCTAGAGTCCACTACCTAACAAATTCAGAAAACTTCGATTCGATGTAATCATAAAATCATAATTCAATCCGGAAAAGGATAGGCAAAGGGGTTCATTATCATTCATTCGGTCGTTAGCAAATGGGTACAGTACCATTCATTCTAACAATGGTCAATTGCAAAGTTCAGCACCATTCAATGTAACAATGGTCATTGCAGTGCCATACATTCTAACAACACCGAGATCACACCAACCAATCGTAATTATTTTTTAAGTTGACGATGTAACCTAATACTAGTACACAATTTGCAGAGATAAAGCAATTAAAACAATAATCAAAGATCCGAAAAAACTTATATAATTCAATCAAATACAATCCATACCACGAGAGTATCATCAACATCATCACCCATGTAGTCCTTCAAAGTATCCGCCAATCGTTCTGCCAATTTTACGGCTCCTTCTTCGCTAAAAGCAACCCTAAATGTGCGTTCCCCATCTCGATTAACACCTTCCATAATAAAACCCTAGTCGATTACTCTTCGCAGATATCTAAGAGCAGAAGCAAAAACCCTAGAAATTCCAGATAACAATCAACAGAAAAATTCCCAACTGTTCATCCAAAAGCAAATCTCTTAGAATCAATCAATTTTCGAATAATTAGAGTTTCCGCTAAGATAGGTACTTGGTATGATGAACTGAGAGAAGAGCCAAAGTTTCGAGCAAGAGATTCAAAGGTTGAAGAAGAACGGACCCATGAATATGGGATGGGATACCTCCAGAAAGTCTGGAATAGCGAGGAAGCTTTTGCCTCCTTGTTGTGGTTGAGATTGTGGTGGTGTAATTTGTGAGAAGAATGCTGGATTTAGGTAATTTAGTGGGCGACGTTGCTCCTCTAAAACAACAATGTTCGTCAAGGGTATATGTGTCAATTGAACTTAAAAGTAATGGGTATAATTGTAATTGGGCGGATGTAGTCGAGCTCTGGTGAACCGGGTGGGCAACATTTAAAAAATGGGTATAATGGTAATTGGGCGGGTAGGCGTTAAAACGTAAACACGCAATTCAAGACATTTTTTGATATAGACAACGAGTCATTTACATTATTTTTTTGTCAAATCTGAGCTCAATTTAAAACCTCAAGAATTAAAATAACCCTTAAACGGAATATAATTCAACATGCAGATACAAAAAATATTATTAAGTGGAAAGTGAGTCTCAACCGTCTCACTAACGGAATTTGTTAATGGCTAGGTTACTGTGTGGAACTGAATGTATTTTAGGGTTACGATGTAGAAAGTGTTATATAGAGGGACACAACGTAGAAAAATGAAATTAAAAGGGTTATTATATGGAAGAACTTTTTTTTTTTACCAAAATATGAACAGTCTAAATGAAAGACCTCTGTGTTTGTGAAATATGAAGTTGGGTTGATTTTGTCAGCTAAGGTGTGTTAAATATTTGTAGAAATTTAAATTAATCATCCTCTAATTTTTAATACAAAAGTGACTCTTAACCTAAGCCACCAGGCCTCTAACCTTTGACAAGTTTTTGATCACCAACTATAGCTACTGCTTTCGAGTGCTTAGTTGTCGTATTTATACACATCTTTAACGATTACATGTAGTTGCACAAAGGCTAAACAAAACTAGCTCGTATCCAATTATCCCACGTAAATATCCAATCTGAGATCAAACTAGACCTAAAACGACTAACATTTGTTTAAGCTACCTTCATTTTAAGCAAGTGCAACATCTAATTTGCAATCAACTTCAATCACTAAAAATTATTGAACTCTTACACTACAAGTAAAAATAAATAAATAAATAAATAAAATCAATTTTAATTACTAGTAGTAAGACTAAGTTTTATTCATTAAAAAATCTATCTTAATCAACAAAAACAATTTCACTTCAAAAAAATCTGGTGAGCTGAATGAGCCTAAGTGAGAACACATCGAGTAGGCTATAATCATTGGTGTTCAATAAACAGTTGAACACCATTGAAGCGTGGACACCATGGAGCTAAAATTACAAATTAAATCATTGGTGACTTGGTGTTGGATTCATTTGAACCTTGATATCTTATTTTCCATTTTACTCTGAAACTTGTCCAAAATGAATCAACTCAAATATAAATAAATAAAACTAGGCTACAATCTTGATAGCATATGAAATAATACTTCGTACAAAAAAAAAAAAAAAAAAAAAAAAAACCGCTACAAAATCAGAATATAGAGATTGACCAACCCTATCCTCTTCTAAAATTAACCTGATTCGAAACTAACAGATTGCAGGATATGCTGGGGAGTATGTGGACCAGGTCTAGCTAACCAAAGCACAGCCCAGGGCCTTTAACTAGATTAAGTGCTAAAAAAATTTGTTAAGGTGCTGGATACAATAGAATTCAAACCGATTCAAGTATGACAGTGGCTAAGCAAAAATATCTTCTGTGATAAAAGGATTTTCACTGTTGATACAGGCATCAGAAGAGCATTGGAATTGCTCATAGTTAAGCTGTCTCGCAGCTTCATAAACAGCAATGCCTACACTGACAGAAAGATTTAAACATCTGACATAGGTATCCAACATAGGAATTTTAATGGTTGCACCTCCATATGCTTCACTTCTGCAGTCATCGAGCGCATCAGGGGGTAGCCCACTAGTTTCTGATCCAAACACAAGCCAATCACCTGGTCTATATGTGAAGTCCTGCATAAACAGACACCAAACCTTTAATGATGCCGTAAAATTTTAGTGGAAAGCCCAGAAATTGGAAGAATGTTGACATTTATGGGATAGTATCTCCACATATTGAACGCATATGCCTTCTAGAACTACTTCCAGACACAAGTTTATTAATTTATTTTAATAGCTACTTACAAGCAATAATATACATGGTGTATGTATTGAATAGATCTGCTACTTTGTCCTCATGAAGTTATTATTGCTCTATTAAGAACTCGAGGAGCAAACACCAACAACACAACAACAAAACCCTAGTCCCAAAATGATTTGGGATGAAGTAGTAGTCCTAAAACTTAAAATGTAGTAGTGTTATATTCCTTATCCAATACTTAAGCTTTTTGGTCAAAGCATTTAAGTGCAAAGTTTAATCAAGAAAGATTATGAGGGCAAAGTTTCAACAACTAGAACATGTAAAAGCTTCAACAGCTTGAAATAGAAACTAAATGATTTTGTTTGGTCTTGGTTTCAGCCTGTACAATCAATAAACCACATGATAGTTTCAGCCTGTACATTATTAACCTTTTATTCACATTCAGGACCAAACATCAAGTGGAGATCGAGGGAAAGCTTGGTAGTGACTTTCCCATTCCAAAGACCACACCCCAAGATCTATTTTCTACCTCATCACAGATAGCCATCGGATGGCTGAGGCGGATGGGTTTAAAAAAAAATGTTTAGTGCTGTGGCATATGCAGACCCAAGCAATCAAACCTTACCCACCAAGAAACTATACAGGAGTATACCAAGTTAAACCAAAGAATAGAATATACAAAAGCTCCAAATATGATAGTAACTAAAAGAATATAAGAATGCATTGCTCAAAGTTTACATGTAAGTACTGCTTTCACAAGAGATCATTTATTCAGATAAATCTAGCATGATCAAGAGAAGAAACTAATAAACTATACCAGCTTAATATAATACTTACTGAATGTATTGCAGTCCCCCTCTTAGTGAAAGCCAGTAACCGTTTCTCTCCATTCTGCATTGATCGGGTACATCCATGAAAAAGAAACGAGAAAATAGGGGAAATAGATAACGAAATAAATGGAAAGCATAAATCTTACTTGAAGTGAGAAATAGTTTCGAAACTCAGCCCAGGAAGGATGCACTTTGACAACTACATAACTTATCATACAGTTAAGGGTACGTTACCAAGTGTATACACCTATTATAATGAAAGCATAGCTCCACCAAGTATCATATATTGTGGAAATCTTAGATCAATATGGTGTTAGAGCATTTAGCTCCACTCAAAAATCAGGACTAGAAATTTGTGATATGCAAGTATACAAAAGTTGAGTATTGTGAACTATCATGGATACGGCCAATAATCCAGTCCAGCACGCTTGACTTTGGCATCATCTATTTTAAATCCCAATGGCTGTAGCACAAAATGAAATTGATCATAATATTAAAACAAATTAGCACAACCACCTGTAATTAACCAAAACACTCACCTCGACAAGGTGTAGTTTAACACCTGATGCAGCACAAGTTCTGGCGATGCACCCGGTATTACCAGGAATCTACAAGCCAAACACAAAGTTTTAGAGACAAATACCCTACTCAGTTAAGGTTGATTGCAGATTATAAAGAGAGGGTCATAATGTGAAGCAAGCTTTGAGGATCTGTATCTGACTATCAACTGAAAGATAAGTTAAGATCATAGTTTTGAAGTCCACATATCATTGCCCAGGCTGATAACCAATTTAAGACATTTAGCCTGCTACTCCACGAAACAAAATACTAAATCAGACTAATTATGAAATTGTTTGAATTAAAATGCATGAATCACATGCATAGCCAGCTCACTGAGAAAAATTGTATTCGAAAGTAAATTACAAGAGCTAAAGATGTAGCCATCCCGGGAGTAGACACACATTTGAGGCTTAGACAGTTAGACTAAGGGTGTGTTTGGTTTGATGTAATATGTTTTCATGAAAAATGGTTTCCTTATTTTCCCCATTTTCCTTTGTTTGGTTCATGAAGGGGTGAAAAACAATTTTTACACTCTTAATGTGAGAAAACATTTTCCTTTACAAAACAAAGGAAGCCTGATTTTCTTCCCTCCTCTTTAACTCCTTTTTAGTTTCTTCTTATCCATCCTCACGTTTCCACTCCTTTTGTTAATTTCTCTATATTTTTTCTTGTAAGGAACCAAATAGAGGAAAACTAATTTGTAATTGTATTTTTCCTCGAAAATGTTTTACATGAAACCAAACGGAGACTAAATCAATAAAATGATACAATTTCCCTAGCATTGTTCGGGGCCTCCAATTCAGGTTTCTTAATTGATGAATGAAATGAATAACCTCCCTATGGAATCAATTGTCACATAGATTATGCAGCAATTACAAAAGCGAAAACTAATAAGAAGATAATAACAATCCGGCATCTCCATAATCGATTCTCACATTTGATAGTGCAATTTAGACAAACAATTCCTAAAGCGAAAACTAATATTGATAAATTAATAATCCAACATCTCTCCGAAAACAATTATCACCAAATAATGCGATTTTGACAAACAATTCCTAAAGCAAAATCAACATGAATAAGTTAGGGAGTAAGATACCTGAGGAGAGACCAAAACAACTTGAAGCATATTATTGGAAGGAATTGATTCTGTTGCCTGAGCAGCTCCATAAGGCAAACCACTTCCAGTAACCTTTTCAGCTGTCATATATAAAACACAATTCACCATGAATTTGACAGTACAAGAACATACATAGTAGAAAGAGAAATATTAGTACATTACCAAGGGAAGAGAGCGGAGAGAATCTAGAAGCAGGTTTGGAAAACGAGAGAGGCGAAGGAGAGAGGAGAAGGTGGTTGTTGTGGCGATGACGAGATAGGAAGGAGTATGAAGGAGGTTGAAATCGGAAATGGATGGAAGAGTGGTTGAAGCTGGATTTGCAGAGGATATGGATATGGTTTAGGGCTTTCAAATTCAGCTTTACTACTCCGCTGCTATCCATTTTTCCTTCTTTTTCTTTCTTCTTCTTCCTCTTCTCTCTATCTTAATCCTCACTCCATTATCCCGCGCTGCAACCTCTAGCTACGGCTCTACCCAATCCATTATGTACGGAGTTTTACCGATTAATCGTAGGAATTTTCCTACTCGTAGGTGGTACTGTAAAAATATTGTGTCTTACCTTAACGAGGCGTTTGGCAAGAGGGATATGGATAATGAGGATAAGATGGTAGGATAAGGATAAGGAATTATTAGGTGGGATAAGCATAAAAATAATATTATGCTATCCATTATTTGGAATGAGTTGGGTATTAAATTGGAATAAGTAGTAAATTTGCTTAACTATCCTTACTAACTTTTCTCCTCTCTCTTTTTCCTTCCCTTTCATTAAGGGTAAAATTGTCTTTTACCTTTTAATTTTTATCCCCGACCCTTATACTTGCCCCCTTATTATGGAAATAAAGGGATAAGCCTCTATTTAGTCCTCATCCCTTTCCTATGGGATAACTTGTATCCCCTCAAACAAACAAGGGATAATGGGACGTACATGAGGGATTTTAAATCCTTATCCTATCAATAATCCCCCTAAACAAACATGCTATTATGGGACGTTGGGTATAGTTGTGGTATACGGGATTAAGGGCAAAGGTGTCAATTTGGAGGTTTGGATTAGATTTGATGAAGTTGGGTCAGGTCTAATTTCAAATTAGAGACATGTTAAATTATTATGTATTAGGCTTGATGCGACTCGAAACTTGAATCGGATATTTATCTGATCGAGTTAGTCAAATTAGATTGTGGCACCTCCAACTAAGGGGTGTAATTGGAAATATATATCCCATCAATCATTTTTTTTTAACTTCATTAATTAAACGTAATATGACATTTTCAAGAAAATTGAAATACAATCCAACCAAATCAAATAGCATTCTTTGGCAAACATACTATGATGACGGTGAACTAAATCTAACAATGCAGCTCATCCCTCATATATGTTTGCTGGATCATGCAGCCCCGTGACATAGTTTATCACTCTGACATAGTTTCAAGAATAAAGAATATTATCTAACCTAATAGACTACATCCTGAAATTTAACACCGATTGCAAAATAATATGATGAACCACTAATGAATTGAACCTTTCAATAAAACTATAATTACCACTATCTAATCTCCCGCGAGGGACGAGAAGAATACAAGACTCCAAACTCTCGTTAAAGGGGAGAAAGAACCCAAACATTGTGTAGAAAACACTCATAAAAAAGAGAGAGAGAAGGATTATTAATTTATTACCGACTAAGATAATTAAAACTAATAAATTAATGACAAATTTGGGGCTTACCACCATCAAAGAAATGATGATGGCAACCCCTTGTGGCTAATGAGCGAGAAAGATTGGGTTTTTAGGGTTTTGAGGAGGAAGAGAGAGGAGTTCACTCTTTATTTAGATTAATTAATTAATGTTGATTGTATTTTAACCAATTGTTTGTCTTACAGAAATGAGGAATGAACTCTCACCCAAAATATGTCTTAGCAGAGATGGAATCCCAACCCTAAGATTAGGAGATTTTTTCTTTACCGTTAGGCCAACACTTGTTCCCTTTGTATGTTTTGTTGCTCTAGTAAATTGCCTTCATGAATTGCAATTATTTTCTTTAAATTCAAGTTGTTTTCCCCCCAAGTTTAATACTTTTCTTAAAATAAGTAACTAGGATAATCTGTGACAATTAGGATAAGTACCAATAATTCGATCTTTTGTGTCAAGAACAATACTTATACGCTTTTGTGAGAAGTTGTTGATTTACACCATGTTTGGATAATAATAGTGAAGAGAAGGGGATAGGAAAGAAAAGGAGGGAAGAGATAGAGAGATTTGGTTTATTAAAAGGGAAAAGAAAATGGATCATCCCAATTACACCATAGCATTAGGTATACAAACAAAAGATGACATATCCTTCTTTTTTTCCTCTTCTTTTTCCTCCATTTCTCTCTATCCAAACAAATTTTGAAATTTTCCTAAGAAAAAAGCAAATTATGAAATTATCAACCAAATAAATTGAGGCGTATTCTAGATTATTAATTTTTAATTTATATAGTATTCATATAATTTATTTATCTCTATTATACTTTGTTTAATCTAAAGGAGGGATTCCATTCCAAAAAAAAAAAAAAAAAAATATAGGAGAGATTGTAGAATTTATCTAAAAAGACCTTAATATCGCCTCTAGACTTATACAGGTATTACCATATTAAATTTCATTTGTAGATATTGGCCTTGTTTGGTAAAGAGCTTTTTGAAAAGCTTTTGGCCCTATTTGGTAGTAAGCTTATTGGGGGTATATTAGCTTATTTGATTAACTTTAGCTTATTGACTAGTCAAACAAGCTAATACAAGTGTTTGGTAGTAAGCTTATTGAAAGAGATTATTCCACTAAATAAGCTCTTTTTGAAAATGCTCAATTTAGGAGCTTTTTCAATTTGCTTATTCATTAATTATTGTGAAATGACACTTATAACCTCATTTAATTTAAAATCCTATCTAAACTACCTACCCCACAATTAGCTTATTGGTCATTTCACATACTCAATCACCTTTAAGCTATCAGCTATTTACCAAACACTTTTATATAATTAGTTAATACAATAAGTTAGTCAAATCAGTTAATAAATCAGCTAGTCAAAATCAGTTAACTCAATCAGCTTCAGCTTTCAGCTTTCTCCCAAACAGGGCCTTTAGCTTATTGAGTAATATTAGAGGTTTGACCAATTTAAAAAGCTAATTTGGGTGTTTGGTAAATAACTTATTAAAAAAGCTTTTTGGTTCCAAAAAGCTCATTTTAAGAGCTTTTTACAATTAGCTTATTGAAGAATTAGCTTTTTGGGTATTAAATACATTGAAACAGCTAATAACAAACAATTATTTACCAAACACTTTTACATAATCAGCTATTTACAACTAGCTAGTCAAATAAGCTAATATAACCAGTTAGTCAAACCAGTTAATACCAATCAGTTAAAAGCTAATTACCAAACAAGGTCATTATATAACTTTTGATTAATGAATTGATTTATTTCAATAAAAATAAAAAGGCTAAATTTGACCCGAGTTCCTTGCCCAGATGCCCACGTGACAAACGGTACACAAATTGACTTCACATTCGCAAGTAGAAAAGGCAAAACAAAAGGAGAGAAAAGAAGAAGAAGAAGAAGAGAGGTTTTAGTTAGGTGAGATAGAAAAACACATCAAAGAAAGAAATGGGGGGAATTTACGGGACAATAGTGGAATCAATTGAGAATTACACTGGGTTATCACCAACATCATTCATCATACTAATGGCGGTATCAATAATAACATACAAGATAGTCTGCACCATGTTTGTTGCAGTTGACGATTACAAATCCGTTGAAAAAATGAAGGAAATCTTCGAAGAAGACATGAAAAGGGAGCCAGTTCAACTGGGTGAGGTAACAGAGGAGCAGCTCAAAGAATACGATGGTTCAGACCCAAAGAAGCCATTGTTAATGGCGATTAAAGGAAACATATATGATGTTTCAAAGGGTAGGATTTTTTACGGGCCGGGCGGGTCTTATGCTATGTTTGCTGGGAGAGATGCGACCCGGGCTTTGGCCCTCATGTCTTTTGATCCCCAGGATCTTACTGGTAATATGGATGGTCTTAGTGAATCTGAACTTGATGTTCTTCAAGATTGGGAACTTAAGTTTATTGAGAAATATCCTAAAGTTGGTGTTTTAGTCAAGGAGGAGGATTTAGATTCTAAGAAAGCTGTTTAAGAGGGATGTAAGAATCTTTTTTTTGATATGTGATATTGATTTCTGATGTCTGATTCAACTAGGTTTGATGAAGAAGAATGTATTGAAATTATGGGTTTGATGTATTAGAATGTATTGACATTGTCTGTCATACTGTATTAATCTTGCATCAGAATGTGTTGTTTCCAATTTTTCTGGATTACTTGTTGACTTTTTAGTAGTTAGTAATTGGTATCATATATATGAATATAAGCATTTTAATGAGCAACCTTTGGAAATTTGGATGTAGTAGCTAGTTTCAAGTCATACATATCAAAGGGAGAAACTTGCTGTTGTGAATGCAGGTATTTTGAGAGACCATAGTATCTAGCTGAACTATTCTTTTCACACATTTTACAGAAACAAGTGAATTGTAGCATTGAAACAGAATCAAACTTAACCCTACCCAAACAAACAATTTACAGTCAACTTGGCGAATATATAAACATTTAAGAGAAATAGATTCATCATATTACAGCAGGATTAGCCGCTAAGAAGAAGAGCAAGGTAATATCTTTTACCTTTTGACAATTAAGCCATCCATTAAGCTAATAAGGGGTCAGGGTTTTCTGGATGTAAGATGAGACATGTCAGATGTAAGACGTGCAGGCGCACCGGAAGAAATAGGTGGTAATTACTTTTGCAGACACTAAAACTACATGTTCTGAACCTACTGTTATTTTTTCTCCTCCTTATCAATCCTGTAGTCTTGATCACTCTGATATGCCCTGAAACCGAGCACAACAAACTTAACTCTAGCTCAAAATTTGTGCCCTGAAATGAGTTTTGTCTGGTAGATCTCTCATCTAGAATAAGTAGAGGCACAACAGCTGAACAGCGTGTCATTAGTGTGTTGTCTAGACTGAGTTCCCTCCGGCCATAGTCTTTAATGCAGACTTGCAGAGGCCATCTTTCATCTGTATTCTATTCTAGCAGCTTTTACTCATGCTATTCTACTTGCTTATTATACATTGTTACCATATATTTAGAATTGTAGACCACTAATCCAGACTAAGAAAGAAGCAGGGTGTCGCGTGGACTGAGTCCTTTCTGAAGCAGTCTGTAACACAGGGAGGTCATCTCCCCTCTGTATTCTATTCTAGCTATTATCTTTTCCTTAAGTGCTTGCTGTTTTACACCTATACTTGCATTTACAAAATCACACTTTTTTATTTGTTTTATTAAAGTGGCAGCTGGCAGGTATCAACTTGTATTTGACTGCTTATATTGTCTTTCCTCCAAATATGTTAAGAGTACTAATCCGGTTCCATAATATTTCCATTTCAGAGATATTCATCTCCATAACAATCCTCTTACTACTGGTTGGGAAATCTAATTCCTAGTTCACCACATCACCACTTATATTTCTTGGTCAGTTTGATTGGATGCAATATAAATGGTCTTTTGTGAGTTGGATACTCCTTTCCTTTGAGGCAATTGTCAAGGAGTAGTAATATTCCTCATTTTTTTCTTTTATATTGGAGGGAGTGGTTGCTTCTTAAGAAAAGTAGCCTAGGAATATAACTTGGTCAAAGGGAGATACCAGCAAAGAGCTGTGTCAAAGGGTGACATATGACAAGAAAAGGATAAATAATCAGGTAAAGGGAAGGGAGGGATGTGAAGTTATAGTAGTTGGAATCTGTATAGGGGGGCTAAATCGTAAGTTGGACTACTTGTTCAAAACCTTTTTGTGGAAGATATTATAAATTCCTTTGAATTTATGCAGATACAGGGCAGTGACAAGCACATACTATAGAGGTGCAATAGGAGCATTGCTGATCTATAACGCCACCAAACACCAAAGATTTTATTATACCTCTCGCTGTTTCGACGATTTGCATGGCCATGCTGATAACAACATTGTCATCATGGTTATTAGGAAACAAATCTGACCTGGGTTCCCTCGGAGCTGTTTCCAATGAGGATGCTAGAGTTTGCTAAGAGGGAAGGCCTTGCTAAGAGAGTTTGCTGATATATTTCATGTTGTCAGCAAGAAAACTCTTGTTGCTAAATGATGTAGCTGATTTTGTTAGTATTTCTAACCTTCTTACTGGAAAGCTAACTGTTTTTCCTGGCCAGGGCCAAGTAAACACTACTGCTAAATTCAGATGTTGCATATCTTCATTTTGAAGTACAAGACTACAGAACTACTGTTTTTCCTGGCCAGGGCCAAGTAAACACTACTGCTAAATTCAGCTGTTGCATATCTTCATTTTGAAGTACAAGACTACAAACCTAGTTCTGCACTCTGCAGGTACTGCATTCTGAAGTTTTCCTTTTGATCTCCTTTCTCTTTCAGTCACTTTTTTGCATTTGATTACTTTGTAGACAATGAATTGATGAAGTTTAGTGAGGAAATCATTATGTGATGATGTAGTTATGTATCCATGTCCTGTGCCCATATGTTATTGCAGCAGCAAGAAAGGAACATATATTCTGTTTAAATTATTCTTTTTATTGGCCTTTGTCCGGGACTTGGGAGAGATGGATATACATATATATCAAATAGAGATTAACTATGTCTTCCCTAGTGTCTCTGCTGAAATCGGGCTCTCCATTACTGAATAGTCAGGGGGTCCTTGTTGAGACTTGAAAGGTCTTGGAACTATTTACATCAAAGTTTATTAGCAATGATTTTCAGTAACTTTGTCTTCCCTGGTGGTTCTGTAACTTCTGTTAAAATCAGGCTTTTGATTACCAAGTGGTTAGGGGGTCCTAGTTGAAAGTTGAAACTATAAACCTCAAAGTTTATCAGCAACAATTTTCCATCATGCTGTTTTGAATTACTCTTTTTACTGGCCTTTATACTTTGGGACTTGGGAGAGAATGATACTCGCACATTTCATTATACATTTGATATGACGAAAGCATGGGCCTTGATACAAAAGATTTACTATCGTCTTCCCTAGTTGTTTTGTTGAAATCAGGCTTTCTATTACTCAATGACAGGTCAGGGCTACTAGTTGAAGCTGTGATATGATTCCAAAGTTATTTAAGCAACAATTAGTACGAGTACTTTTGTACTTTTACCACTTTGCGTTCTAGCTCCACTACATCATGTTTGTGGAATTTGTTTTAAGGCTTTAGGAATACACTTGACCTATTAAAAATTTAAAGGATTTTCATGAAAAATGTGTAGTGTAGAGTGAATCGAAAAGTGTGTTATGAAAGGAGAGCGCAACCAATGTGGTGATTCACTGTAAGTATCCATAACTGTTGTGACAAAAATTAAAATCATCCCATTGCAATAATTCTTTGGAATCATCCCATTGCAGGAACGCAGGAGCTGTATGCTGTCAGGAACGATTTGTAAAATAATAAAAGATGATGAACACCTTATTATTGAAATAATCATCACAGTCAAGGTGTACAAACTGAGATCTCTAAAAATTAGCAGTAACGTTAACCACTGGCATGAACAGTGTTGCACATGCCAGGATTTCTTGCACACCAAAGGGGTTGAATGGGCTCAGCCCGGACCCCTCTTCTCACCATCCTATACCTCCACTCATTCAACCTATCCGTGGCTTCTGCATACCTCTTCTTACCAGTGTCATCTCGATTCCCAGACCAAAGAGCCTCAGCTAATGCAGAAGCTCGAGGCCACAACCTGGAGTCGAGGACAGTTGGGTCAGCTTGTTCAGACCAAAGTGCCACCTCCCCTCCCAAAACCAATTTCTTCTCCTCTTGAGTGAGTCCATAAGTGATGTCATAGTTGTATATTAGTTGCCATGTCTTGAAAGGGCCACACCACGAACCGCCATTCCCCTGGTCAGTACCTGGTGGCCGATTGTACTGGCTGTCATTCCCCACAAAGCTGCCATGACCGCAATCCAGGTAGTAGTAATCAGCAGAGGAAACGATTGTCCTGTATCCAGAGGAAACGATGCGTTTTGTGTTTTGTGAACCACCGTTCCAGGTTTGTAATATGGTGTGCTCCGGGGGTAGAGTTGACAAGTCTTCCACCTTGATGGTGGAATCCAGGAGAACATCCTCCCAGTATATAGAGGTCTTATTGTGGGAGGTGACGTAGGGGAGGGTAGAGTTGATAAATATTTGAAGCAGATGAGATAGCCCATTGTGAGCGCTGCTGTAGTTGGATAGGAAGGCTTGGATGATGGGATCTGTAGTCCAACATCCGGGGATGACCTCATCTCCGCCGCTGTGGTAGAAAGGGTCAGGGAAAAGGGAGACTATGTCCTTGATCACCTTTTTCATGACTTGGTACGTCTTGGGGTGGAGCGGGTTGAGTTGACCACTTCCGGGTTCAGAAGCAAGCCTGTCTGCCCACTCTGATTCTGCTGGCCACCAGAACATCCCTGCACATGTTACTATCTCAGGGTGCGCTCCTGCCCATGACCCTGTATGTGCTGCATCATCACGAAATCACCCACCACACACACACATACACAAATGGTTAATCCAACATTCCACAACATTTTATTATTGGTATGGTATAAATGAACTGCATAAGTGTATATGCATTATATAATTCTATTCAAATCTTTAGATATACCTGGAGAATCTATCTCTGGAATAACCCGGACGCCATGATCAAAGCCAAACTGGATGATTTCAGCAACATCAGCCGGAGTATACTGCATAAAGGGACCATAAGACCCTTTGATGGCAAGATCAGGGTCAGAAGGTAAAAGCAGAGGGAAGGAATGTGAGTCAGTGATATGCCAATGAAAAACATTAAGCTTATTCCAACTCATTGCTGAAATAGTTCTGAGAATGTCCTTTACTCCATAGTAATTTCGCGACGTATCCAACAATAACCCACGGTGCGCAAAAATGGGGGAGTCCCAAATGTCCAAACCCACAGGTATTAGCAGTCTCTGAAATTGTGTCCCTCCCACCCAAACTAATTGTGAGAACGTCTCGAGACCCCTCATGGCTCCCCATACCGTTTTAGCAGCCAGTACAGCAGTGCCCGCGCCAGAAGCAGGAATGGTGAGATTGTAGGACTCATCTACCCCATGCTGCAAGCTAGCTGTAAGATCAGCCACTTTTATCTGCAGCACCTTCAAATGGCAGGATGTTGATACCACTACTTCTGGATTTACCAGTGGCACATGGTGTTCTGATTTGATCAGGATTTGGTATCGGTCTGTGGCAGCTACAAGATGAGGGTGGTTTCGAGGACATTTGATGGTAAAATCAGCGGAAAGAATGGTTGCTTTCGGATGCGCCCACCATAACTTGACAGGCTTCGGCCACACATTCAGTGATTCCACATGTGAATGAGGATGGGATTTCGCAAAGCAGCAGCACATCCAGCACTGTAAATACAGAATTGTGGTGAAAATTACTCTAATCATCTCTAATTTTCTATTCACTGCATTTATTCTGTTGCTCCATTTAAAGGCTTCTTTATAATCTATCTACTACACGCTTTCCTGACGATTGCTGTTTTACAATTCAAGACAGAAAGATAAGTAATTCTTCCTTCCTTTTACGACTCGTACGGAATACAAGTATTGGATTTGAAGCTTTCCAGGATTGTTTTGTGACTATTGTCTTTTAGTTCTAGATGAGTTTGAGAATGTTATCAATTCAACTTTTTCTGGGTATCTTTTTTGGCTTGCTTGTTGTGTCATCCCTTTGTAGGCCCTCCTAATCTTGTTCTGAAAAATATGAAACTTGTTTACTCGTATTTGGTTACTAACAGCCTATTTAGTTGACCAAAAGCCAGCTTTAATATAACTTGACGATCATGTCTTTTTTACATGATACCCTCGTTTGAAGGCTGACAATTTTTTTTTATCTTTTGTACTTCAAGAGTTCAAATCTTAGCCCTATTTTCTTCCTCTTATTCATATACGTCAACGTTTATAGACAAATATGATTTAGAAATAGTAAAAATAAATTAAGTTTAATAAAATAATTTCAATTTAATGTACAATCTCCATTTCTTATTATGTTTAACAATGGAGTCTTATTTGTAAGACATAAAATATTTTTTTTTCTTGCAAATAATAAAAAATAAAGGTAGTAAATAATTTAATTTTAGTAAAATAATTTCAGTTCAACAAAAAAAAAAAATTAACAAATCAGAATGTTAGCGTATGGTTCTTAATTTACTAATATGTATTCACATTCTTTTTGTTATTACCTTTTTTTTTCAAACATCCACATTCTTTTTGTGTCTATAATCCACTGATAGCTTATGCTAGTCATAGTAGAAATACTTATTGGATCGCGTGACGATTATGATGTGATTATGACCGGCAATCTTTTTATGTTTGCAGTAATCAAAATCCAAATGAACTTGTCTTGTTTAGAATATGAAAGATATATCTTAAAACTAACAAATTTATTAAAATACTACGTAGTAAGCACTTTACACCCATTTAACTAGCCTAACTAAACTTTATTATTTTCTTCATTTAAAAAAAAAAATAAAAAAAATAGTCGCGTAGCTATATGCTTGAGGACATACGGACTTAATCTAAAAAAAACACGTGATTGGGGCTCATTGCAATTGTTTTCAAGCTTAAATCTTGATGATTGCTACCTCCATAAGTCCATAGTAAGAAACTAAGAACTAAGAAGGAGCCAAGAGTATATAGAATTGACAGTGTGAAAAGGCTAAAACTGGTTCTACAGTGTACTCGTAGTGAATCTTGTCAAACCAGAAAAGAATGGTTCATTCTGTTATAATAGTATGGCTCTTGCATGGTTCCTGTCATGAAATTTAACTGTATATGGTTTATGGATTAACTGGTTGGTGTAATGTACATTTTGTGCAAACCAGCTCAAAAATCAAATTAATATATAACCTTCAAACGAGATTTATTACATCCAAAATTAAATGTATAGGTGAAGAGAAAAGGATAATTATGATAATGCAAGTTCACCTAAATTATGATAGTGCGGCTGGAACAGTGTGGTGGCTTCAGGCCAATCCATCGTGGCCGTCCTGCCATTCATCCCATAAGCGCTGCACACAACACAGCACAGCCACAGGCCAAACATGTCGGGGCACATCATTCGACGTGCCATTTTAAGTTCTTAACCACTATTTTTTACTTTGTATAATTTTTTGGATACAATGCCGGCCACTCGGACCAGCAGGCTACCCTTCTGTCATGCCATTCATCCCAAAAGACAGCCCCACCAAGGGTGCCTCATAAAAACAGGTTAGCACTATGCATAAGAAAGACGGATGAAAGTTGTCAAGAAGATCCAAATTACATACAAAATAGCTAATAGTTGGCCAAATAGCCATATCTTTTGATAAATTAGAGCAGAACATTACACCCTAATATTTTCCAGGATCTCAAACACAAGCTACAATATGAGCAGCTGCTTGAGAAAGTAGACATGCAAAGGGGATGAAATTTTAAAAGAAGCTAATACATATTCTCCCCCTTATTACATCATGCATTATATGGAAATATTATAAGTGGCATTTCTAAGAACTCTATTATTTATTACATTATCTTCAGAGCTCACCCTGCCAAATATTACTTCCTTGCTAACTCACCTGCACCAGAGAATGAATAGAACAAATTAAACTCCAGACACATATAAAGACCACTTTTTTTTATGTAGAGCACAAATAATTTAAAACAAGTACATATGCAGCAGTATCATAGAATTTCCTAGACACAAAGATTGCCTTTTCAATAATCAACACAATTAACTTAGAACAAGTACATATGCAGCATCATTGAATTTGTTTGATCAGTTAAAACATTCAAGGCAAGAGAAACAAAGATAGGTAAAGGCCGTAAAGACAACACAAGACCAAGCGAGGTAAGAAACTGTTACATGGATCAAAATTGGTGGCACATTTGTCAGGGAGCTGCAAGGCCATGCTTCGATCAACACCAGATATAGGGGGGCCATTGACAAGCACACATAAACAAGGCTGTCCCAAAGTTTTGATGGCATTACAGCATGTCTCGCTTGGTGGGATAGGGCTGAATGGGGAAACCGCAGTCCTGCATGGTAAAAGCTGCACCAGTGCTGAGAAGAACGTGTTGCTACAGGTGTGCCCTTGGCCCTGCCTTACCATCACTGACATGATTAACATCATGACCACAAAATAAACAAAAGCCTTGTCATGGCAATGGGGTAACTTCATGATTCAACTAGAGTGAAAATTCCCTTCAGCAGTAGGATGCATACAAGGGTTTGAATCAATGGGAATCAAATTAAATATAAAGGAGAGTTGACAATCACTCATGCCAATGTGCATCTTCATCCTACCACACATCAGCATTTTGATGCTGAGATCTGCCAGCTGTACTCCTAAGTTATCACATAAATCGTGCCTACCCTAGAACAGTTTGAAAACCCAAATTCCGTGACTGCACACTTCATATGCAATGCACTCGCACATCTAGGGGATCAACCCACCTCAAAAAGGTAGACGGGATAAAAATTGGGGAAGAAACATCCATAAATTTTCATACAAGCTATAATTCAAAATCATAGTAAAAGAAACTAAGACAGAAAAAACATAAGTACGCAGAAATAAAATGCATGTCAGTGATGTCACTGCCTTCTGAAGTCAGCTTTTGAATAAATTTCATCCACCAATTATCACAAATTTAACAATTTTGGTAAATTATTGGTTCTTAGTGATACAAGCCTCAAGGAACAACAAGATTATAAGATAACCACTTAAAAACACCTCGTCCATGCAAGATGCCCTCAAATAACAACCCCTCACCTGGACATCTGCTAAAAAATCTTCAGATAATGTTTCATGTTTGTAAGTTGGATAGTATCAACATGTTCTGCTCGGACTACGTTGAAGAATCTCTTTTGTTTCCTTTTAGATTAAGCACAGCAAGCTCCTTTTCAACAAATTCCCCGGCACACAAGGGAGGATACATACTTGCAAGTGCAGAGTTAGCAAAATGGCCTAATGGCTTCAGTACAGCATCTGATGCAACATGTGCAAACAACTGAGACAAATGAGCACAAGAAATTTCTAGTTAGAAAAATGTTAACCTCTTCAGTCTTCACTACAAAAAGTTTGCATTAAACTATTGTATGAATAATAAGGCTGTCTACTCACAGTTGAAGATACTCTCCACAGACTGCGCCTTTGTTCGGATGCTAACCTAATTGCTTCAAGAGTCCTTTTGGTCACAACAACCTCATGCATTCCGGCAATGCATTCGCCACCAGTTAGCCATTCAATCTGCAAATACATTCATGTGATATGAAACTGCAAGCGTCAAAAAATTGGTACAGCTAAGTGGAGTAATCGAGTAACAACATTCACAACTTCTGAACAAAATACATCAATAAAGAAGACAAAATTGACCCATTGAAAAATAGAGGTTTACTCAGAAAACTGGCTAATAATGTAAATCCAAATGGCATTGCTATTAGATTACCAAAGCATTAATGAAGTCTATATTGTTTCTGTAGAAACGGTCGAAACATGAACGTAATTCTTTATTTTACATGAATGGAATGCTTATACTTCACCTTTTTTTTCCTTTTTTTTTTTTTTTTTTTTTTTTTGTATGAAGACACTGATTTCTTAGTAGTTACAATTCACTTGTCGTCAAGTAAATATACCCAATTACCCACTCTCACTTTACCAGTAAAAGATAATCTAACTTGTACATTTGATCATTTAGTTGCATGTGAAATATAAGATACATAGTAAATGAAAGAGCAACAGCCAAACTAAACACATTTAAACGTCTAACAGTTTAATGGAAAAGAAACCGTGGGCCCCTTGCATCTTGGCTCAGGAAACCAGAAATTAAGTAAAACATTTAGACTCGCAATGTAGGTAAACGCGTAAAGCAGTAGGACACCCTTGAAACAGATTTTTAATTAACCATATAGCAATTTAAATCAATTAAGACTCTAATTAATACAAAAATGGCCTTGCTGTAAAATTGCAAAGTAAATACAGTCCTGACAGAAAATCATAGACAGCTTGCCAGTGAAGCCTAGAAGTTTTCATACATGTCCATAGTTAGAGGATTGGGATAGCTTACAATTTTCTTCTCTGGGTAGTTTCTGTTAAGCCAAAACTATGCACTCTAAAAAATAGAATATTGTCAATGTGTATATTGTATCTGCCTTACCTGTTTTCCAGTCTGAATAAGAAGACATCCAACAGGAACTTTGACTTCCACCTTTTCTCCATTTCTGAGCCAAATGTTCAGACCCGGAAACCTACTCCTCCCATGGATAGTTAAGAAGTTAAGGTCGTAGTGATATCCTGCAAATACAGTCCCCTCCTGTCCATGATGATGAAGGTCACTACCCGTTGGAGCAAGAAGGTGAGGCCCCTATGTACCAGGAAGGCAGGAATCAGTAAACAGTCCAATAAGAAAAGCATAGGTCACATATCATACTTGAATGCACTATTGTAAATAGCACTACAGAGGGGTATACAAAATGATTGTTCGACAGTAATGTGAACATGGAATATCATACTACCAACCTTAAACATATTTTCTGTTAACAATCAATTAACAATGAGTTTGGATAACAGACATTGGAAAGAAAGGGAGAGAAAGCAAGTGATGGATTCATTTCCCTTGTTTAAATATAAAATTGGGGAAAAAGAAGTGGAAGAATAAGGTGAACCCAATAACCTTCTCCTCATTGGAAGGATTTGGAAGGAAAACGCGAGCTCAATCCTCACCTCACCTCCCTTAAAAAGAGTTAGTCAGTTAGCAAAGTGGTAAAAAAAAGGTATACCTGCTTCATCAAAGAAGTGAAAGCATCCTTAGGCAAGCCAAATCCGATAGCAGCCATTTCTGCAACAACCTGATACAATGGAAGGTAAATAGGGTGAAAGAGTACATAAAAAGGTAAGCACCATAGAAACATGATCACCAAGAGCGACAACCTCTATAGCTGATATCATTTTAAGACCCCATGAATCCATTGTTTCTTTCCATTCTGGGAATCCTTCAGGAATTACAGGCTCAGCATTTAATTCCTGTAATATCATACAAGCAGAACTGAAACCGAAACCGAAATTGAAATGGGTGAAATAAAATCAAGAGAAAGAGGCAAAGGCAGACCTTGAAGCGAGTATTCGACGGACGAGGACCAATCCTCCACATATATCTCCACTTAGGATCAGGCCCAGTTGGAGTGGATGGCTGATTTTGGGGCGACATAGCTTTAAGATTCTGTTGCATTTCTGCATCCACCAAACTTCGAGGGACTTCAACTCCTTCCGGCGTAACTCCAACCTAAAAGATGATCAACCCAACAAACCAATCAATCCAATGATAGATTGATAGACAACAAAGAAATCAAATAATGGAATGAATCAATGAATGAACCTGGTAATGCAAAAGAGGGCGTTCTTGAAGGCGCTTGAATTCCGGGGTTTGCTCAAAATACTTCTCCATCATGTCAAGAAAACGATCATTGTCTTGAGCAGAACATCTGGGATCTTTCACCAGTAAAGCTCCTGTCTCCTGCAGTGTCCGGCTAACCTCCAAACATAGCTTTTGCATTTCTGCCTCATTGCCATTCCCGCTTTGAGCACAATCCAGGTATGGGTTCAGATCTATAACTGGGAATTTCTCCATTTCCCTCTCAATCTCAGTTGAACCACCTCCACACTCAACTATAATTAAAGTGAAAGGCTTGAAGAGAACATGAAAGCAAAGGGAGGATTAGAGGAAAGATTTTAATGACACCATTACACCAATATGAAAAGTTACAATTCCGTAATACAGCTACTAATCCGCTCTTTTTTTATGTAACGAAACTGCCTATTGTCACCGGTTCAAGGAGTTCTTTTTTTAGAACGAGTTTTCGTAAAAATAAGCTCTCGTTCACTTCATATTATTTTTGCTCAACTAAAATTCTTTTTACTGGAATAAAATTATGTTTGTTGAACTTAAATTATTTTTAATGAAATCAAATTAATTTTATTGTTGAACTGAAATTATTTTTACTGATTTTCTAGTATAATTCTTCTTTACGAAAACTGAATTTTACTAAACTGAAATTATTTTTACTAAACTGAAATTAATTTTACTGAATTGAACTTATTTGTAGTGAACTGAAATTATTTTTCCTTAATATTATTTTTTTAAGGTGAAGTGAATCGGACCTAATTGTTAGACTTTGTAAACCTCTAGACCATCAACAATCATCCATATTATAATTGTAAAGTTTTTTTCCCGACTTTTAACCATAACTCTTCAATCTTTTTTTTTTCAAATGGAACTTACAAAAAATTCTTTAGATGTCTCAAATTCCAAACAAATACTCCTACATACATATCACCTCGTAGTTTGAAGCCGTCCCACCCAAATTCTACGAATCACTAGTGGAAAATTCATATTTTACCACATTACATATGATACATCAATATCAAGATCGCCATTGCATTCGTGTAATAAGAAGTAGATTAGAAAAAAAAAAAAAGAATAATGCACTAGTAAAAATCCAAATAAACATCATTTCCACATATAAAGAGAACTATTAGGAAATAAAATATTTTTCATTATATTGCACAAAAAAGAGTGATCATATTTTTTATATTGCACAAAAATAAAGTGAGAACAAAAGAAAAATGTCAAAACCTATTATAGAGTATGGTGCATAGATTTGTATCTCTATTCTAATTAACGGTGTAGATTTTGTAGACAAGTGACAAATCAATCAATCAATCATCATCAATCAATTACATACTACTAAAAGCGAATCTTAAGACACACTTATCAATGTATTATATTTCCCGCCAAAATTACCTTCTAAAAAAATTATTGTTACTTAAGGAAAAAAAAAATTATATCTAAATTATGACTTAATTTGTTTTATATAAAATATAAATCTTTTCCTAAAAGATTAAACTATCCCTTATAAGTTTATAACTATTACATGTTTTTTTAAAATATTTTCTCTTGCATGCTTTTATTTTTTTATACTCTATATTTTTTAATACTCAAGTTATTATATTAAAAAATTTATAATAAAATTGTCAAAAATATTTAACAACCGTGCATTGCACGGGATTTAACCTAGTGAGAGAAATACGCAAGGATGGTTAGTCGGTTTGTAAAAAGTAGCTCGCCAACATGGAGGTATTCTTTGAAAACTGAGACAAAGAGAATAAAACACTTAGGGCCCATTTGGTTGGGGTTAATGATTAAAGAGAAGGGAAATGAGGTTCATTCCCTTTCTTGTTGTTTGTTTGTCAATTTTTTTTTATTCCCTTTACCCATTTTTATTTTTGACTTTACCCAAAATCCTTCTACATTGATCCCCCACCCCCTAAGACTTTTCCATTCCTTTTCCTAAGCCACCCTACACACACTGGCCACTACCTTACCCAATTACTCCCACCACACAGCCACCTCGTCGGAGCTCAACTAGTCTTCACCGGAGATCGTCCACTCCTCGCCAGCACTTGCCACACCTCCCTCATTTCCAATCCGGAACC